ATTGAAATCAAGCAAATTCAAAAATTACCCAACTTCTTTGTTCCAAAACGCAAATTTATAGAAAAAACTAGCCACAGTGGAGTTTAGTAATTTGGATAATCTGCAAAAGGACATTCAAGCAGCTAGAAATAAAGTAAAGATTGACCTAAACAAATCAGGACACAAACCAAAAGCGTGGTGGAACGAGGAGCTAAACAAATTGTACAGGTTACAACTAGCGAAAAGGAAAAAAGCGAATACTACAAATGCAGTGGTGGACTTCGAAATAGCCTTGAGAGCAAAAGAAGAATGGAAACAAGCTGTAAAGGAGGCTAAAAACAAGAATTACAAGGAGAGGGTTGAAGAGCTAAACAATTGTCCAAACACCAAAGACGCATGGCGTTTCATCAGCAATGTTAAAGGCAACAAACACAAAAACGGTGATTGGGCCACAGAAGACAATTTAGAATACCTGGAAATGCTAAAGTCGCAAGTAAGAGCCGCAACAACAATACAAGCAACGCAACCAGGTTTGTACCCTTCACATCTGACACAGCAGCCAAACATCATGGTTAATTTTTCGTATGACAATTTTGAAGAAAAACTCAATAGCAAAAAGTCGACAGCAGGGGGGGTAGACAAAATCACCTTTAGCACTCTCAGACATCTACCTAGGGAATCCAAAGAAAAACTGCTAAAGGCCTTGGAATCAAGTTACCATAACAACGAAGTCATTGAGTCGTGGAGGCGAATCAGAATTGTTCCTATTCCCAAAGCAAATAAAGAATTGGATGACTTAAAAAAACTTTAGGCCAATATCATTGATCTCAGTTGTTGCGAAGAGCCTCAATATGCTCATCAAAGATGCCCTGGTAGAAGAAGTAGAGTTGCGAAATATAATCCCACAAAAAAGCTTTGCGTACAGAAAACAAAGATCGTCATCAATGTGCTTAAACGAAACCCTGCATTTTGTAGCTGACAAAAAGAGTAACAACGAAAAAGTTTTTATTTGCTTCCTAGATATAACTGACGCATACAACGGGGTCGACCTCGAAATCTTACACCGCACGCTGTTGGAATATAACATAAACCCAAAAATTGCTAATTGGACGAAAAACTTCTTCTCCTCGAGAATACTGACTCTAGGGCCACATGCGGTGGAAGTCAATAATGGACTCCCTCAAGGTAGCTGTTTGTCACCAATACTTTTCAATATTTACACGGCCAAGCTTCACTGTATAAACGATAGCAAAACGCAAGTTTTTCAATTTGCAGATGACATAGCAATAATTTCGCACTGCAAGTCGGAAAAAGCTGCAATCCTCAATTTGAAAACCCAAATTATGAACATCCATGGGATCTGCAACTCTATAAACCTGAATTTCAACTTGGAAAAAACGAAATTCATGTACCTTTCTGCAGGGAACAAAAGAAACTTTGAACTAACAATCAGTGGTAACCAAATTGAGCAGGTAGTCACAACAAAATGGCTGGGCAGAATTATTAACTCGAACTCGACAATCAAAGGGCAAGTTGGAAAGGTCGAAGACGAAATAACAACAGGTAAAAATTTACTTGCAAAACTGACTACAATAAAAGCAGGGTTAACACCCAGAATAGGGCTCAACCTATTCAAAGTATTCGTAAGATCCAAGATGGAATACAGCAACACCAGCTATGCCAATGCTCCGAACTGCTACTACAAAAAACTACAAACAATAGCAAATGAATCCCTGCGTAGATGCTTAGGAGTTCCCCCTAACACACCAACCCTAGCTCGATATGCCATAGCATGCGAGCTGCCACCGCTAGCAAGAGCAGTTTGGTTAACTTCAAAAGAGCTGACCAAGCAATGGTTTCTCAATCCAGATTTAAGAACACAACCAAAAAATAGTAGACCGGTCAAATCAAGCTACAGCCACACCTTTGAGAAATTTAAGGACATTTTCAATCAAATTAACACAAACACTACTTTCATCAGACACCCTAATCTCAAATTAATAGACTCAAATCTTAACAAGTCCAAAAACAATGTGGCGCATGAACAACTACAAGCTATCTTTAGAGAACAACAAGCATACTATCTTGATCAGGGTTTTCACATATTAGCGACTGATGCCTCCGTGAGTGAAAATATAGTTGGTTGTGCTGTATACGACACAGCAAATAACGTCTCCTACTTATACAACATACCCTTTTACCGGTCGACGACGTTTGGGGAATTAGTAGGACTGTTACAGGCGGTCAAACTTGCTAAAAAATATAAGTGGAATAAACCATGCATTTTTACAGACAGCTTGGCTGCTGTAAAACTGTTAAAATGACCGTTAACCCAGAACCATATAGTGGCCGAAATCCACAATCAAATTGCCAATTCACAAGTAGAAACTGCAGTCATCATGTGGGTACCCAGCCACGTTGGCGTAGCATGTAATGAAAAAGCTGACATTGCAGCTAAAACTGCAGTGAATCACGGCCAGACGCTTTCGATTGACTTAACGCCACAAGAGGCACTTATACAAATCAATACTCTACTATGGACAGAGACTAAGGACAAGATAAAGGAAAAATGTGTAGACTGGGACCATAATATCATCAATAGTTTTGCGATAAAGGAAAGACGACCTTGGTTTAAGGACAAGAGATTTGACTTAGAGCCTTATGACATGAAGCTCCTCAACAGACTAATTACCGGACACACATACAACAGCATCTATTTACAACAATTTGTACCAAACGTTAGTGAATACTGCAACACTTGCAATACGCTGGAAACTCCTGATCATCAAATCTTCCACTGTGATAGGTACAACGCTATGAGAACGAAGTTTAAACTCTTTGACACGTACAAGACCATAAATGAAATTATCACCACTAAAAAACCTGAGCTTTTTAAAGAGCTAATAAACTTTTTGCGAGAAACCAAACTAGATGGAGCACTCTAGGCCATACAACAGTTTAATCAAAAAAAAAAAAAAAAAAAAAAAAAAAAAAAAAAAAAAAAAAAAAAAAAAATAAAAAAAAATTTTAAAAAAAAAAAAAAAAAAAGCAAAAAAAAAAAAAACATAGAGACCGGAAAAAAAGGGGGGAAAAAAAAAAGAATCGCCAAACAACTTAATCGCTCAATTTAAAGACAAGAAAACTAAAAACTTTGTTAACCTTATATAAGACTGATCAAGGCGTAAAGGACGTAAATAATCCTTCGCTTTTATGTTCATTCCAAAGACAGATGCCTAATTTCTATTACTTTTCGGAGTATAGATTTATAAATAAAAAAAAAAATAAATAAATTTGATGTATAACTTTCTAAAGTACCGGAACAATAAACACCTTTTATATGTCAATAACGTTAAAAAAGGGAAAAAAAAAAAATAATAATAATAATTGTAAACTCATCGGACCGATCAATATGTTATATTAATATATAATCGGTTCTTTTTTAAAAAGACAAGCCACGGGCTCCGACTTACGTGTAAACTATGCTACATGTCGATGTACAAATGTAAATAAATAAAAGGAAAAAAAAATTGTATGTTCAATGCATATCTGTTTGCATTAGAGAAACTGTATGTTCAATGTAATCGTTTTGTCTTTGTATCTGTTTTGTGTATCTTCTTTTTGTCAAAGCACACCAACACCTCCACCCATATTCGGCACAGTAAGGAGCATCAAAGGAAGAACCTCTGAGATAGCGGGAGACTTCAAGAATCAACGGATTACCTCAATACTCTTGTATAACCTGGCATATACATTACAGTATTACTGCCAACAATCTTGGACTACAGGGTCCATAAAGCCACGAAAAAAAAAAACCAAAGAGGTTTCAGAAAGTAGTTTGAAAATATTTTGAAGAGGACTGCCACCTGCTAGAAATGTCGAATTTAGTTTACACAAGTTATACGAAATATCAAAATATATATATAAAACGAAGGAGTGTTAAGAAATCTTTAGTTAGAACTCTAAGAATATTTCTGAGGTGTTGGAAGAGGTTCGCCACCTGTTTAAAAAGTTAAATTCAAAATATTTTAAAAGTTAAATAATTTATTGAAATATGTGTATCAATCGAAGAGAGTTTGAAAATTTTTTATTTCTGAACTGTATTTAGCGGGCTTGCCACATGGTTGAAAATTAAAAGTCCACTTAATTCATCAGTTAATTAAAATCATGCCTATTACGATATCCAACGGATGCCATCCGCACGGATCTAATATGATTCTCACTGTCATAACAAGCGAGAGTGAAGTATTACATTCGTGCGAATGGCATCCGTCGGATACCGTAATAGGCATTAATATGTATCGCAGTGTCCGGCGAAGGGGAGCTAACAATGATTTAGCTTGAGTACCTGTTTGAAAGTTCCAACTCAATTAACTAATTCAAAAAGTATATGAAATATAAAGATACCGTGGTCAAACGAAAGACTGTTATGAAATCTTAAGTTTGAAAATTTCAAGAGAGTTGCCACGTGTTTAAAAAGTGAAATTCAAATTATTCAGTACATAGGATGAATTATTAAAAGATGGGTATAAATCGAAATGAGTTTGAAAGTGATTTATCCCTGACCTTTATTTAGGAGGGATGCCATTTGTTCGAACAATCAAATTCGAATTAGTTCATCAGTTTAAGATTTAAGAAGATTCTAGTTTGAGAATAATTTTGAAAAGGAATTTCAAAAAAGGTCAAATTAGAAATCTTAGCCCGTAGATGTATGATAAAGTTTTAGTTTTTTAATTAAGAACTTTTTTCATCGGTAGAGCGTGATTTGAAATTCGATGAAAAATACATGCATTATGGGAGACTGCTGTTCACTCAGAAACGGCTGGACGGTTTTGATGAAATATGGCACTTGGATCTCTTATAACTCTGGCTAACATTTGGAATATATTTTAGGTTTTTGAAATTCAAATTAGGGCGTTTTTATGCCGAGCTTCTCCTACGATTGGTGTCGTGCGCGTTGATGTCACACAATTGTATTTTTATGAGAAGCTGTTTTTCATGGCAGAACTCATATTCGTATTGAAATAAACGTCCCGAGAGACGAAAAAATAAAAATCCCTTGTAATTATTATGAGTAGACGTAAATAATTTTCGGCTTGAAATAAACGTCCCGCGAGACGAAAAAAAAAAAATAAAAGTCCCATATAATTATTATGATTATTGTTCAGTAATAATTGTAGAGCAATATTTAATTTTATTTCTTATAATCGTTATGGTCTCTGATTAATCTGCATCTTAGTGGTTGCTATCTAATGTCTAAAAGAAATTTAAATTGCTGTATATTTATTTTCTAAGGTTTCCACCGGCAATTCCCGCTGTTATTATTTTCATTGAAGAATTACTTACGCACGTACACTGCCTTTCAATTATAATCTAATCCACTGCACATACCTACATACATAAATATGTTTGTATGTACCTATGTATATAGTTTTTTT